AGAGAGAGATATGGGTTAGGTTGGCAAGTAATGATTTGGGATATAATGGAGATTTTGAGTAGTGGAGGGACCTGACTTGGCAGCACGCCCACTGGCCACATGGAGATAATGATGGGTGCCTGCGAGGAAACATCTTTGGTCTACGACTACTAGGGTTGGGGAGGAAGCTAAAGCAAGCCTCCTGTTTAAGTAAGTTGGGGAAAACTGAAAAGTATGGTCTTGTAGAATAAATGCTTGATGGACTTATGCAAACAACTCGATCCTAACGAGACATTCTTGATATTTTACATGTCATTTGATGTGTTTGTGTGAAGACAAACATGCATGATGATATAGAACAATAATTTGTCAACCACTTAAATACTTCACTTCTTTCATTGTATTTGTTACTGTGGAAATGAGATAGTTCAATAAAATAGAAAAGAAAGGTAAAGCAAGAAAAGGTCTAACACATTTCACTAATGGTTTACATTTGGTATCATCTATCTAGTCTACAAAATTAGCACTTGGAATTTTCTCTTTTGTGCGCATTAGTAAGAAAGAAGAGCATCTTGCCGAATAATAAACTTGATAAGAAGTGAAACCCAATCACTTACCAAGATAAAATAAAATAAAATACAATTAAAGGAATTAAGTTATTCTTGATATGATATTGAAGGTTTTGTCGACAATTTTCTTTAAAAAAAATCTTTCGCCATGTTTTTAAAAGAATAATAGAAGTTTAAATTATAGACATCTTATTTTCTATGTTAGAATAACATCAGTTATTCTTGATGGGTAAATTACAAGTATGGTCACTAAAAGTGTTAAAAAATGCACGTTTGGTCACCAAAAGAATTTTTTTTCATTCGTGATCATTGAAAGTGGTTAAATATTTCAGGTTTCATCACTCTCTGTCCACTTCCGATAATTTCAGCAGTCAACGCTCATAGTTTACCGTTAAATGTGTGATGTGGAAATTAAAATATTAATTTTTTTTTAAAGGAATGTGATAATGAGGTGGAAAATTTACAAGATTAATTTTTTATATTTTTTTATAATTTTTGAATTGCCATATCACACATTTAATGTTCAACTGTCAGAGTTGCTGCCACATAAGCTAAAGTTAACGGAAGTGAAAGGAGAGTGACCAAACTTAAAATATGTAACACTTTTAATGACCACGAATGTAATAAAATTCTTTTAGTGACCAAACATGAATTTTTTCGCACTTTCAGTGACCAAACTTGCAATTTACCCTATTCTTGATATAATATCAAAGGTATTTAAATAACTCAAGTAATTCAAAGTTCAAATTACATAGTTTTTGACAGAGACTTCAATAGATAATAAAAGTGAAGAAACTCGAAAAGTATATAAATGAGAGAATGCCAATTTTCTTGTTGAGAAGACAGCCTATATCTTTATATTAGAGTAACACCAATACTTGTTCTGTCTCATTCCCAAGCTACAATCTTCAAAAGATAAAAGCTTTGGTATTATCATGATTCACTTGAGATAATATTTAAAAAGGAAGGAGAGGGTAAATGTTGTTATCACACTACCCTACCATTGTCTTGCGACCAATTGTTTGTACCTCAAAGCAAAAGCCATTTGACAGATAAACGATTACAGATCTACAAAAGAACTGATGAACACCTTTGTATAATTGTATGTTTCTGGGTACTCTCCATATCTGGGTGTTGGGTATTTTTATTTATAAGTGGAAGTAGAAGAAACAAAAGTATGAAAAAAATTAGTGGGGAATCGAGATATAATATGAATATTTATTCTTTTAGCTATAGTAAAACTAAGTCTAGTAAAATGCATGCGGTCGCTCTAGTTTTTTTTTATTTATAATAAGTGTGATATACGTTGACTTTTATAAAATGTGTTATTGAAGATATTCGAACCTGAAATATCTTATTGAAAATTAATGATATTATCACTCAGGTCACTAGTTTTAGTTATTTTTTTAATAGGAACACTAGTTTTAGTTAGGGGTGAACAAAACAACCTGCAAACCGACTCACTCGTCCAATCCGACTAGACCCACCTATATTTATTGTCAAAATTAAAGTTTAAGGTTGGGTGAGGGTTTTCTTTTATACAACCCTCCTCTATTAGGTTGGGTCCGGATTTTGGGTAAGGCAACCCGTATTTAATTATTGTCATAATTGTTCGTATACAAGTATTCAACACATATTTGTGTCGTAAATAAACATATTTGTGAGAAAATTAAGCTATATTATCATATTTTTCTCTTGTGGTTTCTCTAGTCTAATACATTTTTCAACTTAATATTGAGACGTAGATTTAATATAAGCTATGACTCACGTAATCTTTTTTCTTGTGGGTACAATTTTAGAAGAAGAATTTATTATGAAAATGCAGTGGCGGATCCAGGATATAGAAGTGCACTGGGCCGGATTCGAACATAAAATTAGATACCGCAAACAAAAAAAAATTATAATTTGCATTACAATGTCAATTGTACACGACGGTCTTTTAATTTAGCAAATTCGTCAATAATTGAGTCTTCATCCATACCAATAACAATGTTGTTTTCGCCTTTTTATTTGGTGGTTGAGAAGATGTCATGATGAAATATATTGAAATCTGCATAATCAATTAAACATATACACACCGCAGTCAAACACTAGATTCTAAGTAATAAAGTAAATTTGGATACAAAATCTACCGAGTATGATATATGAGAAATCGTAATATGAAATTCTATGTTAATTTCTTAATGCATAATTGCACTATACAAACTTAGTTTCTAAGTAAATAAGACTAATTAAAGTAAGACACTAAGATCAATTGGCAAATTGCAATTACCATTTACCTGTTGTTGTTGTCCTTGTAGTAAATTGCAATCACAAAGTAAATTGCAATCACAAAGTAGCCGCTGCGGAGAAACTAGAAAGGAGGAAGGCCAGCTGGCCAATTGATGGGGGTCTCCGGCGCCGGGCAGGGTCTCGGGGAGGTGGGGAGCAGCGGCCAACGAGAAGGTCTGTAGTCTGTTCGTTTTTTTTTTTTTTTTTGTTCCCAGACTTGCAGGGAAAGCTAAAAAGGAGGCATGGAGGGTCTGTAGTATATTAATTTGGGTCTGTAGTCTATTAAATTGGGTCTTTTAATTTGGGTCTTTATCTTTTAGATATGTTTGGGCTGGCCGGCTGGGGGCTGGATCTTGGGACTGGGGCTGGGCCCAAATAATTGTGCACTAGAATTATGCTGGGTTGGGTCTTGGGGAGGCAGGGAGGGCTGGGCCCGGACCCAGTCTGGCCCCCCTGTATCCGCCAATGTGAAAATGTTACCTTATAACTACTTTAGTTTACTTCGACAAAATATTTATGGAAAAAACTAGACATATGTTGATAAATTGCATTTCATTAAAATCCAAACAATATTTATGCATATTGAAACTTTTTGACTCCATTTATTTGTTTAAAATCTTAATTAGTTATATAATATTTTCGTATTGTATAATAGTTGCCTTTTTTGTGTTGGGTTGGATATTTAATTAAAAGTACCTCCAATCCGACCTAGGGGTGGGCATCGGTTCGGTTCGGTTCAAACCGAACCGAACAGGAGTATTCCGGGTCCCCGATTTGCAGCAAACTTCAAACCGATTCCGAACCGAAATAAATGTCGGTTCGGTCTGGGCGAACCGAGATATATTCGATTCGGAATCGATTTTCAGGCTTAACCCGAATTTTCACCCTTTCCCCTTATCTTCTGCGTCAAAAGCCTCAAAAAAGGCAAAACCATTTATTTAGCCCTCTCTCTTCCCCTAATTTCCCCCTCTCCTTCTCTCTCTTCTCTTCCCCTCTATCGCAATCGCACACCGCCGACTACCTCTAGAGACCAGAAGCGTCATCATCTTCTCCTTCGCCTTCTCGCCCCGGCTTCTACCTTCCCTTCGCCTTCAGATCCGACGCCTAAAACTCTCTCCGGCTCCGACCAATCTCTGCTCGCTCCGTCTGTCTCCTACTGCCGCCACTACCTCCCTCATCCGCCTCCTCTTTGTCTCTCGCTCTCGGAAGAATCGACAGAAGACGGCCGCCACCAATCCCTCTCTCCGGCTCTGGCCTCTCCTCTCTCCCTCGATCTCGAACTTCCTTCTCTGCATGCTCTTTGCTCCTCTCCTCTTCTGTCGTGGCGGCCGCTGTGTGAGATTTGAGGTGAGACGAGATGGGTTTTGTTTAGGGTTTCATTGGGCTGGGCTAGGGTTAAGGGTGAGAAGTGTGGGCGCTGTGTGAGGTGGGGATGTTGTGAATAGAGAACTCCCTGCAAATCACCACTCTCTCTTTTGTCGCTATTCTTTGTTGGAATATTAATTTTGGTAATTGAAATAAATTTTATTTTAATTTATAATTAAAATGAGGTGGAAATTAAAAAAAAATTAATTTATTTACTGCCACGTCACTCATTGAACGGTCAACTATTGGAGTTGACCGCCACATCAGAAAAAGTTAACGGAGACTAACGACCAATGACCAAACTTGGATTGTTAACCTGATTTAAGTGACTACAGATGGAATAAAGTAATTCTAATGGCTAGCGTGAACTTTACTAGTAATTCAAGTGACCAAACTTACAATTTATCCTATTATCCTATTGTTTTCCAATCCGAGACTGGATTTTTCTAGTCATTGGGCTTCATTTTGCTAATACACCAATTAGACCATTCGGTGGGTTAACGCTGCGAAGCCCAAAGCCAACCAAAACTTGAAGATGAAGGTTCGGTTCATCATTTGAATCCTTTGGTATTAAATGTTTAAATTGAGTTTTTTTAATACCAATAACAATTAGCAAATGATTTATTAGCCAATGGAAAATGCATAAATCATTAAGTTCATACAAAAGTTTTAAATGATTCTATCGAATTATTTTCAATGACTCCTTATTTAGTTCAATTTTTAAAATTATGTTTTTGCTTTTTTTTACACTACTTCTATCATCGCGAGCTAATGTAAACAATTTTGTAGAAACAAATACCTCATTCATAAATACTCCTCACCATTAAAAAAATTTAAACAAAATATCAATTGAAACAGAAAAGGAGAACAACATTTCAAGAGGGAACACACAATACATGACCATATGATCAATCTCCCAATCCTATCCCACCCCAAGTACAAAACCAGAGCTAGAATTACATCCACCTCACACCGAAAACTGAAAAGTTCGATTGACTGATCTCGTAATAATCAGCTACATAGATCGAAACACTCTCATACATACATACAAACATAATAATCACCTTCACCGTGATTCAATACATTATACATATATAGCTTAATAATAAATTCTTAATTACTTGATGGTATGAAATTAAAAAGAAGGATAAAATTAGAAGAATTCACATATGCCTCCACGGGCGTTCGGCATGGGCGACGCATTCCTTGTACCTAAAACAATCAACGAGGTGGTCGATGGTCAGGCCAGCAGCTTGCATGAAAGAGTAGACGATGACCGGACCAACGAATCTGAATCCGCGTTTCAACAGGTCCTTGCTCATCGCCTCCGCCTTTGGCGACCGCAATGGCACGTTTCTCGGGTGCCGGAACTTGTTCACCGTCGGCTTATGGTTCATGTATGCCCACATGTACCCGCTCAATGACCCGAATTCCCTCACTATCTGCCTCAACATGTAGGCAATAATAATGAATATGATATTGTTTCTACTTATAAAATTAAGTAAAATTCGATTTTGGAATCTTGATCTAGGTAGATGTAAGCTGGTACCTTGAGAATGCATTTGGCATTGTCCACAATACATCGAACTCTACATTCAACTAAGGATAAGGCCTTGTCGGAGATGATGTCCATGATCTGGTTTTCGTCCATTTTGGCCACCACGTTTGGATCAAATCCACCGAATGCTTTCCTATAAATAAATTGTTAAAATATGATCGAGTAGGGTACGTAATATATAGAGATTAAATTATTAACTAAATGAGATCGGTTGATTGAATTACCTGATGAGCTCCTTTCTCTTGAGAATTTCCGTCCAGTTGTAGTCCATCAGCATACCACACAAGGAAAGCAGCTCGAACAATTGGCTGTGTACAAATATTCCAGTCAACTTGTCAGGGCGCTCTCTCTCTCTATCAGTATTGTATCAGTTTAATTTGATGAATTTAAAGGTGAGAAAGACTGAAATCTATTTCATTATACGGACGAAATTTTTAATAATTACGTAAATCGATCTTTTCCATTCGATAAACCCAACATATATTTTATAGCACTAATTAGTCGCTCTACTTTCAAAATATGCAAATTAAATCACTATCTAGCCATATAAGAAAAATATAGCGCGGATCGATATAGTTAGGGTTTGTATCAAGCTTGCTTACTTGTCTTCATAAACCGGAACTCCCCAACATTCATCATGAAATGCAACATAAGCTTTGTCTGTACATATTTTGTTACGACACCAACAACAACAACAAAAAAACGAGTTAGATATTGCAAAAACAGTAAATCAAGTACTGTGACGAATCCAGTAATGGCGAGCCTGAATTAATTTGCATAATTAACACGCGGTGACACACGATATCACAAACTAAATTAAGTACGTCCGTTGCATTAGTTTGTAAGCATTGACATAATAAGTGATATATATATATGCAGAAGTTTGTATCTGTTACAAAAAATGTATATCTCTAGTCAAATCGTTCTTATAACAAGAAGTTATCACTTAATTGTCAGCCTCCTCTACCTTTTTGGGTACATACATATGTTTGCATCACCATAACATGTATATCTCAACTGCAGGCTATAGCCTAGCTAGATATTACCTACACAGCCCAACTAAAAGAAGCATTATAAGCATCACGGGTTTCTTTCCCTTTGTTACCAAAGTCGGATTGTACAACCCGCGATTTCAACCATTAGATGTTTAACAGTTAAGAACAAAGGGAAACATAAACCATTAAGAAGAAGAAACAAAACGAAATTTACGAAAACTTGGAAAAGACTTGGATTGAATCCACCATCAATTTACCACTATTCTTTGTAATCCAATTGCACCGCCTCGGCTCTCCACCACCATCACCGTCTTGGTCATGATCATGATCATGATCATGTACACCCACCGGACGAGGAGGAACCGTAGGCGAATTTTGTTCCCTCCTCCTCTGTCGCGGCGGGGCAATGAGGCGGAGGGCTAGTGAAACCTTGTGGTCGAGCGGGGACGAAGACGACGTCGAATGGTCCGTCAGAGAAGAGTCGTCGTTCGAGTTTTGTGAGAGAGTCAGAGAGAGTGAAGATGAATTGGAAGAGAGTGAAGATAAGGACGAGGAAGAGCTTCTGTAGAGCCCGACCGGGTACACTCTTTTCATGTGTTTGTATGAGAAGATGCTTGCAATGGCTGCCTGTTGCTGCTTCTTCTTGTAGTTGTAGCAACACTCCTCCTTTTCATCTTTCCTGTACATGTTGATATATGATGGATATGATCTTTTGATCTAATAAGTTAAGCGTTTTTTTTTTTTTGGTTTATAAATTAGAGGATTGAGGTTTTGGTAAAAATGTTGAAGGGGTTGATGTGGGTTTTTATATAGGAAGGGTGTGGGGAGGATGGATTTGATGAACATAAAAAGGATGGTGTTTGGTTTAAAAAATTAATTGAATTTGATAGTGAGTGCAATTCAAAGTTTGGTGAAATGTGAGTGTAGATTTTTTTTTTTTCTTTCTTCCTTCCATACTCTTCCATTGGGTTCCAAGCAACTTGTTGTTCATGAGGGGGAGAAAAAGAAGAGATTTTTTTCAACGTTTTCATGGTGTGTTGAATTTTGTAATGCCTCTCAGCTGAGTTTGTTAAAAATCTTTTATGACGATGTGTCAACTCTATCGTATACGACGAAATTATAATGCCATGCTCTTTCTTATGAATGGTGATGAAATCAAAATAATATTCTACACATACGAACAAGGAATTGGTCTAATAATAATTATATCACTAGCCTTGAAGTTGGAGGTCCCAAATTCGAATCCCTTAATTAGTACCTAATAGCAAAAGGTAACATATGTCACCCTTATCAAAATAAAAATATATCCTACACACATACTTAATGAAAATCTCACGTCGTTGTAGTTTAGTAATCAAGGTTCTAAAAAGCGCGCGCCTAGGCACAAGTAAAAAGGAAAATGCCTCGCCTTGGTGAAAAGCATCGGACATGGCGTCACGATCATGTTGTGGCCTCGGTGGCGCATAGTCAGTATTAAGTGGTGCCTCAAAGTGATGTCATTAGGTCTTTTTTCTACTTTTTTATATGTTGCTAGGTTATAGATAAATCAAGACCGTCCTTCCTTTCCATTCTCCCCCCCCCCCTCCGCGACAGATTGTTTCGAGGCGCAAGGCTAGAGTTAGAGGCAACCATCTTTAGAGTAGTTTCTTCTTTCTTTGTTGCGCTTCTTCGCTTGTGATTCTAGGCAGGAGTGAGATATTTTGCTACGTTCACATCTAGCGCTTAGGCACACCTAGGCGACGCCTAACATGCATGTTGGGCGCTAGACAGAGCCTCAACATTTGCCTTACGCCTAGTGCTTTCTTGAACCTTAAAAAATAGTTCGATCGGTGAGAGTTTTTTTGTTGTTCTTTCTCCTCTAGATGATATTGTAATTTTCTTTATCTACTCGCCATCCAAAACTAGACCCTCTGACAAGTGCTAAAAGGAACTTTGGTTAGGTGAAATATCCAAACAAGTTGGTTTCGTGGTGTAGTTGGTTATCACGTCAGTCTAACACACTGAAGGTCTCCGGTTCGAACCCGGGCGAAGCCATTCAATTTTTTGACCAGGAAAGAAGAGGTATGTATAAACCTTTGTTTTTCATAGAAACGTTAGATGCCAATGATCTATCATTGATTTTTCGATTGCATTATACAATGCAAAGCAGTTCCAGGAATACTTAACAACATTGTGTTCTTTTTAATTTAACAAGTGCAGAGGATTAAATACTAGCTATTGCGATTATGCAATTGTTAAATACTGGTGACACAATATAGATTACGTATTACAGTGTTTACTAAAACAAGGATACATAAACAAATGTACGTATACAGTTGCAATGGCTTTATCTGAGACCAATATTCTTAACTTGCACTCTTCTGTGTCTATTCTACTTTCCCCCCTTCTTCTCCACCACCCTTTTTGTTTTCTGACCAGTGACTACTGCTTGAGGGAAACAGGTTGCCTGCAGGGACAGAGATATTTCATCCCACATTAATATTTTTGGATATGGTTTCTCTTTTCCTCTTTCACCACTAATGAAATGAAAGTGGTTAATTCACTATGGATTTTGTTATCCTATCGATCGACTTCACAACTAAGTTTTTGTGCACGGAGCGAAACTACATGAAAACTAAAAGAGTTGACGATGTGCTTCATTTTTCGGATTCTGAAGAATGCTGCCATTTCCCAGTGCAACAAGAAGAGTTTCCGATGAAACAAAATCGGAGGTTTTGAGCACCATTAGAGAGACTCCGTTACTTTCAATAGATGACAGATAATATGACTTCAAGCCATAGTAACAGAAAAACTATACAATAAGTAGCTTCTGGAAATTTGTGGGCTGTTGTAAATCTTTTTCCCCCTTCTTCCCCAGTGATGTGCATTTCTCTCCTTAGATTTCACAATGAATAATTAATTAAGGTTGCTGCAAAAACAGGGGAAGTTACAAAGTAATGATGCTGTGACAATGCTGCTTCAACTAATTCCCTTTACTTATTATTATAACTGTCAATATCTCTTGCTACTCTTAGTTTCACTTTCTAGTTTCTAGTCTATATATGAGAAAGTTGAGCTCATATTATTTGTTTCCCTTAATTTGGAATTTGGTTGGTAGCTAGCTAGATATTTTGGTCTTGGTTTAGATCTAGTTAATCACGACAAACCCATAGTACAAGCTCCAATCCTACTAATTTGATATCTACACTAATGGTTTAGATAAACATTTTTCTTGGTAAATTTTTTTTGTTAATCAGGATTAATAATCTAACTAAAACTAACTGTAAAATCACAATAATAATACGACATTTTCAGCTCTTTTTTTTACGCCATTATTACATTATCGTTGATAATTTTGTAACTCTTTCTTAGTTAAAATATTAAAATTTTGGAATGTTGACCTTCATGTGTCTCTTCCAAGTCAATATGATTTTGCCAGGTCAATATTACTAAAAAAATGTTAACTAGATGTTAACATGTGAGTAATTATTAGTAATTCAATAGTTTTTGCTAATAAAAAATATATGAAAAATGTTTGACTGATAAATAGTCATTATCCTTCTTTCTTACTTCTCTTGACGAGTCCTTATGCCACAAGGACTTGATGACTTACACTATTCTGCAAATTCCAACTGATGGCAAAGACAACGGTGCCCCGGTAAAAAGTGCGACATCGGTGACACACTTTTTGATTAGTCCACATGGACTCTGACATGGCATGGTTGGTCTCCCTTCATCTTAAACCAACCCACCTGGCCCAACATAAACGGTCCAAACTGTCTCTTCCAAAGTAACAGAGACCATTCCCGTTATTGTGTTTTATCTTTATTTTATTATTAAATTAAAATGAAGTTGGTTTTATTTTTCAGCAAAATCAGAAATCAGAAAAAACAGGGGAATTTCGGTGAGAACAAAAACAAGGATCAAACCAGACGAACCAAAAGAGAACGTCCTCGATCGACCAAATGTTTCGACGAACTTCACTACGGCTGATGCAATCTCCGACACAACCTCTCCGATTTACCTCCACTTAATTCCCTTACCGCCTCCGTCCTCCACGAAATCCTATCTTTCTCTGATTTTGCCCTTAATCGAGCTCCTCGATCCGAATTCCGTTTCTACGTCGATTTTTTCTGTTGTTTTGGCTCTGTTGGATTGATGGGGTCGTATCTCCTAGTGCAAGGTTCTATCTCCTTCTTAAGGCTAACATTTAAGGCGTAGGGTTCAGTTCACATTTAGGGTTCTTCTTTGTTTCCGGGTTACAGTGGAGCGTTAGCTGTGTGTTTCTATACAGTGGAGCATGCCCTACAAAACACAATTCTATTTGTCAGACCACGACACTCTTTTCTTGACTCTACTGCTCCATTTAAACTCGAGCTCATAGCTCCACCAAGCTATAATCTATTCACTCAGATCATTTAGACGTGTTACAACTAAACCTGAAGCATAACTATAACGATTATCATTGAGTTGTCTTAGCCAAGCCAATGGGACAAACTAGTAGCTCTGGTTACAAGTAACTTCTCGATTCAACAACATTTCTTGACAACTTCTCATCCTTTCTAGTTCCCAATGTGTACATAGAAGATACTGACATGCTCATTCTGCATTTGTTGCAAATCTGCAAGAGCTTTTTGTCTCGACTGCCACAAACAGAAACACACAACTATCAAATCCTGCATAACAACAACAACAACAAACACTTTTTAAGCAATAAAAACTTACATTTTAATTATTATTAACATGAGTCGCGAGGCAAACCTTCCATTCAGGTAGGTGAAACTTGTTGTCTATTAATTGTAGTTGAAGCAGAAAGCATTTGAGAGCAAAATGTTTTACCACCTGCAACATTCACAAACATTTGAATAGTGCCTTCAAAACAAGCAATGACAACTCAGAGGATAATAAGGAAAAGGATCATTATAGAGAGAATTTAACCTCACTACTACATAACAACAAACCAATATTTTTAGTTCAATCACTTGGAGAAGAGCACAGTTCGAATCTAACACCACTTCTACACTGAATAATAACATGAATTACAAAGGCTGCAAATTGTAATAGAGTACCACTACTCGACATAACATCTAGAACCAGAAATAGGACAACAAAGATCAATCGACATGGAGGAGGATGAGGAGTATCACTGCTGCTCTCAACCAAGCAAGAGACCATGTGTTGCTGTGGCAGCTCGATAGTAACATTCACCTCCATCTTCATACCCTACATTGAACAGTAGTTCTCGTGGCTGCAGATGTAGTACAGCTGAACCCTTCCCCACTGCAATGGTGGTAGCCATTCTTTTTCACCTCTAGCAGTCGTACAGAGTATTGTTGGGCCAGAAATCTACATGCTTTGCAAGACCAACTCATAAGAAGATAAGTGCAACGTGAGTAGATTGATCATCTTTACTCGCAATTATTGGGTTTGAAATGAATGGTAGAGTTTGCTTACCTTCTAGCTTGAGCAAGGCAATTGTACCTTCCTGGAGTCAATTTTCCTGCAACAAAGAGAAGCCTCGAAAGCAGTTAGTTTTACATGATGGTACAACCCGTCTATTGAGTAACTCATAATGAACGGAAATTGAAATTCATGGAGTGGTCATTCCAATAGTAAAGGTCACAAATTTTCGAGCCAGGGAGATAACTGGCACCAATGATAGAACTCTCCTATTGACGCTAATCTATAGTTAAGGAATCATAGTCTGTAGAAAGATAAACTTTAGATTTTGTTTTTCAGTTTCAGCCTCTTGACGGGTTTTCGTTTTCCATCGAAGGGATTTGATTTTGGATAGTGTGCAA